ACCTCATAGATTCTCAATGGGGTTTAGGTTCAGCGAGTTGGCTGGCCGATCAAGCACTGTGGCATGGGCATCAAACCAGGTTTTGGTGCTTCTGGTGGCATGGGCAAGGGCCAGGTCCTGCTGGAAGATGAAATCTGCATCTCCATACAGATCCTCAGCAGAAGTAATAACGAAGTCCTCTAAAACATTCTGGTAGACCGTTGCAGTGACCTTGGATTTAAGAAAGCAGAGTTTACCAACACCTGCACCGGACATTGCACCGCAAATAATGACTGACTGGATATTTCACACTGGACCTCAAGCAGTATGGGTTCTGTTCCTCACCCTTCTTCCTCCAAACCCTTGGACCTTGATTTCTGAATGAAAGGCACACTTTACTTTCATCGGAAAAAGAGGACCTTGGACCACTGGCCAATGGTCCAGCCCTTCTTCTCCTTGGCCCAGTTGAGACTCTTCCTACGTTGGCTCAGGTTCAGAAGTGGCTTGACCCGAGGAACCCGACAGTTGTAGCCCATCTCCCGGATGCGTCTGAATCTTCTCTGTTTGATAATCAGCTGAAGCCCACGGTCATCTCTTTTGCTGGTGCATCTTCTTCTGCCACATTTTGCCCTTCCACTAGACTTTCCATTGATATTCTTGGACACAGCACTCTGTGAACAGCCAGCCTCCTTAGCTATGAACTTTTGTGGCTTACCCATCCTATGGAGGGCATCAATGATGGTCTTCTGGCCAGTTGTTATGTCTGCGGTCTTCCCCATATTGAACCGAATTGAGACAATTGAACCAAACTGAAGCAGTTTAATGACACCTGGGGAAACCTGTGCAGGTGTTTTGAGTTTAGCAGATGATTAGTGTGTCACACTCAGTTTACAACATTCATGTCCTGAAAAATTTGGTCTGATTTCTCCACAGTATTCAAATTTTTTGAAATCCAGTTTTGTGGGTTTCATGAGCTGGAAGCCCAAATTATGTAAAAATAAACAAATACTTGAAATTGTTTAAACTGTGGGCCCTGAATCTATCATCTATTAAAGATGAACTTTTTGAACGGGATTATGGAAATTAAACAACTTTTCCATGATATTCTAATTTTTTGGAAAGGGTCTGTATATGTACAAAATGTTTTTATTTTATTTAGTGTGTGGCTTATATTCGGGTGCACTCTATAGTCAGGAAAGCACAGTAAGCCCCCCCCCCCCCCCCCTGTAAATATCACCCCACTGTCACTGCATTATTATAACATTCCACAACAAATTAAAATAACCTAATGATATTTGAAATAAGGGCAGCACGGTGGCGCAACTGGTAGAGCTGCTGCCTCTCAGCGAGAAGGTCCTTGGTTCAAACCCTGGTCCAGGGGCCTTTCTGGGTGGAGTTTGCATGTTCTCTCCGTGCATGCGTGGGTTTTCTCCGGGTGCTCCGGTTTCCTCCCACAGACCAAAAACATGCATGTTAGGCTGATTGGTAACTCTAAATTGTCCCTAGGTGTGAGTGAGAGAGTGAATGGTTGTTTGTCTCGTTTGTCTCTATGTGGCCCTGTGATGGACTTGTGACCCGTCCAGGGTGTACCCCGCCCCTCGCACAGTGATTGCTGGACATGGGCACCAGCGACCCCCGTGACCCAAAATGGAATAAACGGGTAAAGAAAATGGATGGATGGATGGATGGATATTTGAAATATGAGTTTGAAACTAATAAAATGTATTGATCTCATTACTTAATATGATCACCACATAAAAAAAAACCCATTAAAGAATACAAACTAAAGTGCAAGTAGTTTGTGAAAAAAAATGTGTGTAAGTGACTAAAAATGGCTACAGGTGGCCTGGAAGTCCAAAATTTTAAACAGGGCTTCAAATTTAACAACCCCAAAAAACAATGTACCGGTTATAAAAGATTACGTTTAACACCTAAGGACATGTGCATGTAAGAGAGATGAAAACTGCTCTGTTTACCTGACCGGTTGTTGCTCTCCAGAGGCAAAAGTGGAGGTATGAGGTTGGTGTCCATTGGCTGAGGACAATCCTGAGTCATCTGCTCCTCTGGGGGCACATAGGCAGGAGGGGGAGTCTCTGCATTAAAAAGGACACAGAACATAGGGCAGTAAGTTTCTGTGGTTCAGTGTGAAAGAAATGCCAAAGTCCAGTGATCGTACCTGGCATTTGGAATGGACTGTCGGGGTCGGAGCTGGATGGTGAATGAGGAAAGGTGATGCTGCTGCCACTTCCCGGCGAGTTTGGAAAGCCATTTCCCGATGAGTGTGGAAAAGGCACAGTGTTTGCTTGAGCAAAGGATTCTGGGAAGGTGGCATTCTGTGGCATGTGTGGCTCGTTTTGCTGCAGAGGGTTGCGGAACCGGGGCAGCATTGTATGCTTGGCGTTGAACTCGCTGTTCCTTGGCACCAACACAGGAGGCAGCACTAAAGGTAAAAAAGGACAGTTTAAAGGTTGTGTTTTTATATTTGACTTTTCGTCTTATTTTCTTAGGTTAATAAGCATTTCCTTTTTGTTGGTAATATGAAAGTAGATGTAATAAATAGTTTAAAATTGACAACCATTTGTTTTTGTCTGGTAAAGTCAATTAATGAAAATCTCTAAATATATCAGTATGAAGAGAGGTAATCTGTACACAGTAAGATGGATCATTTAAAACATTGATGGAATTAAAAAAAAAAATGTAACGATCACCTAAATGTTAGCATCAACTCTGAGTGTTTGCTAATTTTAGCTTGTTGGGCTGCAGATGAAACACCTCTAAACACTCATTTTCATTTGACTTATTATAATAAAGTAAATATATAATGATGTCTTTATCAAAAGAACATAACATCTTAAACATAAGAGTGACTAATTGTCAGTAAAACATTAACTTTTAGCACAACTAATGCCATCTTGTTATGACTTAGCATGAACAACCAATTAGATTGATTTTACACATTAACAAGATTATATTTTTTTGGTTGCCAAAAAAACAAACAAATTATTTTTGGTTTGGTTTATTTTCTTTGGATTATATTTTTATTAGTAACGTCAGCTGATTTAATCTTTTCCTGACTATAAATCAGAATAACTTCTGTGCAATTGTATTACTTTTTTCTTAAAGTTTTGCTGAAATAGATCTACATACAACTACGATCTACTTTGTAAATGTGAATCAGTTGTTTAGAGAAATGAGTAACCTACAAAGGGATGGGGCTATTACATGATGTAATCAGAGGTGATTAATTATAAACCAGGTATATTCAGTTCTAGCATAAATTTCAAAGTTCTTCACGTATTAGTGCAAACGCTTATAGTACTTGAAATTGTTGTTACCTCCTTATTCTATGATTAAAATATATATATATAATTCTTATATTTAAGAGTTTGCTGAAAATTTTTCATTCGACCTTTATTTATACAGGTTAGTTCCCATTGAGCTTCAGGGACTCATTTACAAGAGAGACCTGTTACATACAACTTAGGTCCTATTTACACGGACATGATGGGGGGAAACATAGTTTTTTTTGTATGTTAATTAGAGGAAAAGATTTGCGTTGACACGGTCGGATTTTGTGTTTACATGTATCCGCAGGAATCCCCCCCGCCCTCCCGAATCTGCTGTAGTTACCATGCCAGGTCATTAGTTGGCGCTGTGAATTTTGTACCTTCACCTAATGTGTATGTGTGCTGCCTCGGCCCGGTCCTTTCCTGTGAGCTAAAAGCTCAGCTAACAACTTAACAAGTTAAAGCTGGATTTTGGATAAGAGTCAACAGATTTGACACCAAGCGGGACCGCTTCATCTAACAGCTCCACACCGGTCGCTGAGTGGACCAGAACCGAGTCGACGATGTTACTCCGTGATAATCAGTAGCTGATTTACAGCAGGTAAATCAACGTTCTTAATAATGTTTGCTTGTGTTTACTTCGGTTACAAAACAATGAACTGAGTTTTTATTTTTTCCTGAAAGAAGAAGAAGCTGTCTCCCACCAGGCGGACCGGTTTTGAACGAGGCTCGGCCCAGGTGCAGTGCAGGAGGACGTCGAAGAGAGAGATGTTGGATGAACTATTTATTTAAAATTCCCCTCATTTCTTTTATTCAAGCCATTCAATGTTTTAAGCTGCATTAATCAAAGGAGTGACAGCCTGAACGAGCCAGATGAACAATGTGGGACCAGATTCCAGGATGAAAACAAGAGTCCAGTTCATTAATGCAGTTTACAGTTAACATGATTTTTATGTGTTCCGTTTAATTATCAGTGTTTGTGTGACATACAGTTTGTGGTATTGAATAAATAAATAAATAAATTAAACCTGATGTCTTCATTTTCAACTTTAATAACACGCAATATGTTTAGCATAATTTTAATCACATAATTTGAATTACATAATGTCCAGATAGCTTCATTATATATCTCAAACTAAAGATAAATACTGTTTATTATTATTATTATTAAACTCGTTATTTAGCACATGTATGTCATAGTGCAGCACGACGTGTGCGCGTGCCACGTTCTATAAACAGCGACATTAGAACTGGATTCGACTGTGTCTCTTCCAACACAGATGTCGATTACAGCACCTTGAATCTGATGTAGATTAACTACGAGATTAAAAATATATTCCATCAGTCGTAGTTCTGAAAGCACTGTGTCCACCGCCATGTTGATAGAAATATAGCATCTGTCTGCGCGTGCGTGTGCACATGTGGTTTAACACAAAGCCTCAACGGGAGATGTTTACATTATCAGTGGGCGGTCAGTGAAAAATCTCCACTCTGGAAGGTGGGTTCAGAAACATTCAAAGGGGGGGGCCACTGGTGTTGTGTAAATGATCAGCAGAACCGCAGAGAGAAAGCTGCGGATGCACTCAAAATACGCCTCTTAGTAGATGAGGAAAAGAGAGCACAAGGGTTGAAGAAGTTAAAAAAAAATCATGTCACGCCATGACCTGGCCGGGACACAGTGTAAAAGATGCAAAAAAACAACCTTGCAACATAAACAGCAACATACAAGGATATCATAATACATTTATGAGGTTCACAGGACAAGACAGCAAAAAAGCAGGAGGGAGGGTGAAAGCGTCCATCTTCGTCAAGAGCGAAAGAGAGAATGTATTTTATGCACTAAAAATTAGGGATGCACCGATCTACTTTTTTTTTTTTACTTCCGGTCCGATCCCGATACTTAAATCTGGATTATGTCCGATACCAATACTATTCCAATATTATCATCAATATTGACTTTATATGAGGCTGTAATATCTCTAAAGGCAAGTACAATTTGTACAAATATATGCATGCATGTCCAAAAGGCAACTTGACATAAGTTTTATTAATGTTGGATAAGTTTCAAAGTTAAAATTAAATCCTGCTAACACAAAAAATGTTTGTTCTTTTTTATTCCTAGCTTTAAAGTGGATATTAAAGTGATTAAATGGCTTCAAACACCTGCTAAGTTCATGACATAAACCGACACTGTTCCCGTTTTCAGTGTTTTACATCGCTTTATAATGTAGCAGTTTTTTTTATTATTATTTTTTTATATATATAATTTTCTTTTATTTTCCAATTCACGTTTTTTTTTTTTACAATTGTCTACTGTTGTACTGATAAATATCTCCTGGAGGGTAAACGTAAACTATAACTTGGCTGCAAATATTCAATCAAGCTGTGAAGTGGACAGTCTGATTTCAGTCAGCCATGCTCAGTCTGCTCCTCCTTCGAGACGGGCAGACTGAGCGCGGCTGACTGAAATCAGACTGTCTGCTTCGGACTGAATGAGAGGAACACACCGCTGAAGCCACAAAGCTCGAACATCTAATGTAAACTCAGCAAATGACCAATCCGAAGCTGAATCGTAATATTATCTGAACTCAAACACAAAGCAGGGTTTACCGCATTTTAACTGTGATAAAATGAAGAATCTTGAGCATCTTGTTAAGTTATACTTTGGTATTGGTTTTACAAATAAGGAGATAGTTAATCTGTCAGCACATCAGCATCAGATTATTATCAGTATCAGGACTATGAACCTGCTTACAGTAAGGTGGTATGCTCTGATGGGCTGCAGCAGCTCTCTGCAGGTAAGGAGCCTTTAGCTTTGGATTGATCATTTGCTGACACGCCTACATTGTATGGGAACATACAATGACAATACATAACACACACACACTAATGGATTGATTGACAGGTCACATTGTGGATCTGACTCGCGAAAAAAAAGCGAGCTGCAAAAAAAAAGTCTCGTAAGACTTTATTCTCGTAATATTAATACTTTATTCAACTTTATTCTCATAATTTTATGACTTTTAATTTTTTTTGCTTAGCATGGCCCTAAAGCTCCGTCGTAGGGTATCAGTCCTAAAGCTGCATTATAGGTTTTTGAAGGCTGAAATCTGAGACCTCCTCCTCTGTTTAAAGATGGTTTCTCTCATTTTAAATAAATGGCTTCCTTCACGCCCCACCCTCAAACCATCTGTCTTCTCGGTCCAAAATGTTCTCTTTTTGACAATCCTCATGATTCAACATTCTGAGCACTTATGTCACGGCGTATTTCTGTTGTCAGATTCCAGACGGTCTTAGCCAGCATTATTTGACTTTGACTCTCGAGTTTCTGCTCTAAGACTTTATACATAAGGTGAGCAGTTCTTGTGGAATTTGTCACTTGGGATAAAAATCATAGCTGAGGGCACACAGTGATATGCTTCGCTTGTGCCTATAAATACCTGCACAGATAAATAAAGCTGGTGCTGAAATTTTAGATGAGGCTAGCACTGCTGTCAGTATTCCTGAAGGTGGTCTTTGTGCGCTGCAACATGCCGATACATCAGTAAGTTAAATGTGGAGCAGGCGGACAGCAGTGGTGGTATGTGAAGCGAGATTGACAGGATGTGTGAGTGTGTAGCGGGTGGTGTTAGGGGAGGAAAAATAGACTGTGTGAGGGGAGTAGAGGGTGTGGACAGACAGGTGGTGTGGGGTTGAATCACCTTAGCCCTGTGTCCTCCACTCGATGCTAAAACAAAACATGTGCAAGGCAGGCAATGACTCTTTCCTCCTATTGTGTGGGAGTGTGTGTCTTCCTGTTCCAGACGTCCTCAGAGAAACCCTGACAGTGGTCGAATGTGTACAAAAATATATAACTGGGCATGCCCAAAACAAAGACTTCGTTCCCCCTCACATGGAATTTCCTGCTCCATACACACACAGACACACACACAGTAGGGCCTTTAATGATCTAGAACCCTGCACACAGTGGTTTATATCTTGTCAACTTCTGTTTGTGAAGGTTGGTACAAGTTTTTTAAACTCAATGTAAAACAAGTGTCTGTCAATAGGTCATTTGCCTTTTTTATTTTTTTAGTTGTATCTAGGCCTGTCACAATGAACAATAAATCAATTAATCGCATGTTAAATGAAAATTATCTACCTCATTTTCATTTATCAACTTTATCGTTTCTTCGTGTCTCTCTCTTTCTACTAAAGAGACTGGATGACAAAAGGCTCAACTCCGGTGCTCTTCACCGACCCCTCTTTCTCTTTAAAATCCATTTTAATCACCCTAAATCACATTTTTTGATCATTAAAAGCAACAAACCTGAGAAGCTAAGCTACGAGCTAAGCTAACAGGCCGACATCGGGAAAAAAACCTCTGTCCTGCCGAAACCCCAAAATTCACAGTTGAAACCCGTGCCTTCGTGTAAAAAAGTAATTTTTCTTTACAAAAAGAAGCTGAGAACTTGTTTACTTATTTTTTATTAAAAGCTTTGTGTGACAAATGCTATGCTAAAGAGCACAAACCACACCGAACGTCCGCCATTTTGAGAACCGAAGAGAGACAGCCCATGTCACATCAAGGTGTCGCTGTCCCATTTTTCTTAGGCACGCTGCTCGCTCCCTCACTATCCATCCTTCGGTTCAAACAGTCTTATACTGTGGTCAAAATAAAAGGTACTGCACTCAAAACAAATTAACCAACATTTCTTGTAAAATTTGACAATAATTATTAATTATTGTCAAATTTCCAACAATATTATCGTTTATCGCAATAATTTCTGAGACGATTAATTGCCCAGCAAAATTTGTAATCGTGACAAGCCTAGTTGTATTTTTTTTTAATGAAACTATGGCTAATTTCCTACTGTTAAGTGTTTTATATAGTTTAATATTTTGTGATTGTGGTGTACATGATAACCTTTCCCTATTAGGTTTCTACTGTCATTACAACCAGTTGCTACCATTTTTAGAGAACAATGGTATCACTCAGCCGTTTCAGTCTGGGTTCAAAGCCCGCCACAGTACAGAGAGTGCACTTTTGAGGGTTTCAAATGATATATTCTTGTCCATAGACTCAGAAAAGTTTGTTGTTTTAGTACTCTTAGATTTGTCTGCTGCATTTGACACTGTTGATCACAGGATTTTAATCTCTCATTGTGAGCACTGTGTGGGTATCAGGGGTGTCACCCTCAATTGTTTTTTGTCGTATTTATCTAATAGGAGTTTCTGCATAAAAATTGACAATTTTATGTCTTCCACTGCTCCTCTTCCACATGGTGTCCCCCAGGGCTCAATCCTTGGCCCTCTTTTATTTGCACTTTACTTACTTCTTCTTGGTTCTGTTTTTAGGAAAATGGCGTTTCATTTCACTTCTGTGCTGATGATTGCCAGATCTATTTTCCCATGGCACAAAACAACACATTCCAGAAACGTACACACTGCCTTAATGATGTTAAGGCATGGTTTTCTCTTAACTTCCTTAGTCTAAATGAGAACAAGACTGAAGTTATGATGTTTGGACCAAGTTGCTGTCCCTCTCCCAGCATAGATATTGGCTCACTATTATTTTATAACAGCGGCTGTGGCTGAGTGGTTAGAGCAGTCGTCCTCCAATGCGAGAGTTGGGGGTTCGAATCCACCAGCAGTCACATGTCGAAGTGTTCCTGGGCAAGACACTGAACCCCTCGTTGCCTCTGATGTGTGTCCCATCGGTGTATGAATGTGATAAAGCACTGATTAGTCTCATTAGAATGATTTGTTCAATTAGCTTTGTAGAGATCTAGTAGAGTGCTGTATGAATGGGTAAATGAGGACACAGACTGTAGTGTAAAGCGCTTGGAGTATCTTGAAATAAGATAGAAAGGCGCTATTTACCATTTTATCTCAGGGACTGTGTCACCAATCTGGGGGTGAAGTTTGAGTCTGATTTTAAATTTGAAAAACAGATCAGCAGTGTTGTTCAGAAAAGTTTTTATCAACTTCGCCAAATAGCCAAAGTGAAACCAATCTTAGCAAGACCTGACTTGGATAAATTAATCCATGCTTTTATCACAGTTCACCTTGCCTACTGTAATGCACTGTATGTAGGCATTAGCCAGACCTCTCTTGCCCGTCTGCAGCTTGTGCAGAACTCTGCTGCTCGCCTGCTAACTCAGGCCTGTAGGCACGAGCAGATTACTCCCATCCTGGCATCTCTTCATTGGCTCCCTGTGCACTAAAGAATTCATTTGAAGCTTTTGCTGTTTGTTTTTAAATGCTTGAACAACCTTGTCCCAGCATATCTGTCTGAGCTGCTTCAGCCTTACTGTCCTCCCCAATCCCTACGATCAGCTGATCGGTTGCTGCTGACAGTCCCTAAAACTAGGCTGATTCTCAGAGGTGACAGAGCTTTTGCTGTTGTTGCTCCCAGGTTATGGAACAACTTACCCTTAAGTGTCAGACAGGCCTCCTCTCCTCTTGTTTTTAAATCTCTTTTCAAAACACACTTTTATTCTTTGGCTTTTAACATGTGATCTTATCTTTTATGGCATCTTAACACACCTGTCGTGAAACTGGTATGTTTTTATGTTTCTTTGGGTATGGTTTGTATGTTTTTATGGTCTTAATTAATTTATGTTTTTGTGTTATTGTACAGCACTTTGGCTACCCCTGCGGTTTTTAAAAAGTTTTATAGAAATAAAGTTAATCGATTGACTGATTGATTACTATGAAGGAATGAACAGTCCATCCATCCATCCATCCATCCATCCATCCATTCATTCATTCATTCATTCATTCATTCATTCATTCATTCATTCATTCATTCATTATCTTTACTGGCTTCTTCCTTTTGAGTCATGGGGGGCACTGGTGGTGTCCATATCCAGCTATCACTGTGCGAGAGGCGGGGGACACCCTGGACAGGTCTCAGGTCCATCACAGGGACACATAGACAAACAACCATTCACTCTCTCACTCACACCTAGGGACGAGTTACCAATCAGCCTAACATGCATGTTTTTGGTCTGTGGGAGGAAACTGAAGTGCATGGAGAAAACCACACATGCACGAATAGAACATGCAAACTTTACCCATAAAAGCCCCTAGCAGTTTTTTTTTCCAACAACCTACTCACTGAGATGCAACATGTCAACCAACTGCACCACCGTGCCGTAAATGAAAAGTGCAGCAGTATTTCAAGAAAAATTGAAGAGATATGAGAAAATTGCTAAATTTGCACACATTACTGAAGCTTTTTTTTTTTTTAAAGACATAAAATTAGAATGGGCCAAAAATATTCTACAATGTTTTAAGTATACTGAAATATATTGAGTATATATGCTCACCTGGACTGTCCACGCGTTTGTAGTGGTAGGGGTTGATACACACGTCCTTCTGTTTGGAGCCAAAAGGGTACTCGCAGCATTCCAGTGCCTTCAGCTCATGGTGGGACTGCAGGTCAGGCCAGCGCCACACCCGACAATAAATGACATGTGGCAGGCCCTTCCTGTGGGACACCTGTAGCCGTCCATCCAGTGAGCGTGGGATCGTCACACAGTTACTGGGCTGACCCGGGCAGCTGAGAGCCCTCTCCAGCTCCTCCATGGCTCCCTTCTTCTTTTTCAGTTTCTTAACCAGAGCATCCACAGCTTTTTCTGCCCATTTCTCTTCCTCGTCCCCCTGCTTCCAGCCCAGCAGACGTTTGACAGCAGGGCTAGTAAAGGAGAAGAGCGATGTAACATTCATAGTGCACAAGTCACCGTCCTCCACTCTCCTAAAGAAAGCGTGTGCAGTGGTGCCGAACTGTCAAGTCTCAGAAGAAAAATGGGGAAAATTCCTGAATTTTGCGTCCTTGTTATGTCTCAGCTTCCAAACCCCTCTGTCTTTGGAGTCACTAGAAGAGAAGAAAAATAATGTGGGTGTAAGTTAAAACCTCCAACAAAAATGTTACTCACAGTTTGCAGATGTCTTCACTTTTTTTTGCTTTTGTATAACTGCAGTAAAAAAGAGACATCAGCAGCAATTAAGCAAATGGTGAAATCACTACTCAATCTGTCATAATCATGTCAGTCATGGCTTTTGGGAAAGTGACAGGAGAGTTTCCAAGGATTTCAGTTTCAACCACATATTGCCCAGATTGTTTCTATTCTATAAGACTTGTCGCATTACAACAAACCACTAAAGTCATTTACAGGAAGTGACATCACACACACTACACTAGCCAGCACAACCTTAAGTAAGAAGTCGCTAAGGAACTTAACATTTCAAATCTATTGTAAATAGTTCATTAATATCCTGATGCATGCTCAATAATCAAAGTAGAAAAAAATCTAAAACAGTTGAGTCAGGTCCTCTGGATGAATTCTTCTTGTTGAAACATTTAATCTTTTATCCAAAAGACTGTCAGTCTGAGGAGCTGCAACAAACTCAGTCTTTATAAATAGTGCCTTCTCGTAATGGCTCAACCAGTCTGCTGGTGACAGTCAGAATTAGCTGTTCACATACAAAGGAGGCCCATCAGCCTGATGACCGATTGTTAGTGTCCCGATGACTGTTTGCTATTCACAGAAGGCTGAGTGATACTAGCAATAACAGCATTGTAAGGTTGTTTTCACACCTGATAGTCCAGTAGACTTGGTTCTATTGGGGACCAATATTCAGAACATTTGTTTACATTTTAGCTGGTGCGGTTTGCATTCACACTGTACTGAGTCAGTCGAGCCAACCTGTTCCCCGCCTCACCTGTGGTGGCGCTGCACCAAGAACTACTGAAGGAAACGACAAAAAAAAAAAAAAAAAAAACTCTGAAGAAAAAGACACTTCTTCTGCTTCTTCTTCTGGAAATAAAAACAAAAACGGAGTGGTGTCAAATTTTAGCGGTTTTAGGATTTCTGCTTTGTCATTTTTCAACAATGGACTCAGCATGAGCGGAAGGTAAGGCAGAAGATCATGGCAAATGTTGTTTTTCACACAAGGTGGCTGACGGCTCCGTATGAGGTAAGAGAAATACAAGTTTGTTTGCCCTGCGCTGTAGTCCACTTCCTACTTTTGGAACAGTCTCCGGTCTGCTTGCATTCATACTGCATTTGAACTGCGCCAGAGTTCACTTCAACCGAACCGAGACCTAGGTTTTTAGGCGGACCAGAGTTTGCTTTTTTGGTCCGTATCAGAGTTCGATTGTGCATTTCACACCTCCCCAAATGAACTGGACTTTCTAGGCAAATGGACTAGAGTTTGATTAAAGCGGACTAAACAGGACTGGTGTGAATGCACCCTAAGAAGAACATGGAGGCCTCCGCTCCTGTTTAATGATGGACGGTTTCTCTTCGCAAAGATGGATTCCTTCACTCCTCACTCAAACCAACGTTCCTCTCTATCAAGGATGTGCACATCTTCATCCCTGAAAGAGTGATTTCTGGCAGTGAAAAAAGTGTGTGCAGTTGGCAGTGACCAACTGTCCCCCTATGTGAATAGCAAGCGACCATCAGGGCACTATCAGTTGTTAGGCTGATGGTCCTCCTTTTGCATGTGACCTACTAATTCTGGCTGTGCCCAGCAGACTGGTTGATCCACTACGAGAAGGTGCTATTTATAAGACTGAGTTTGTTGCAGCTCCTCAGACTGAAGAAGACTTTTGGATAAAAAACAAAATGTTTCAACAAGAAGAATCAGTCCAGAGGATCTGACTTTACTTTTTTAGAGTTCATTACATAGTTACGTGTCCTTTACTCATATTTTGCAAGGATGCAAATCACAGTCGTATTCGTTGTAAATTATTGAGCATTTATTGTCAAATGCAATTCAGTACCCAGAGTATTCTACCTTTAAAAATAAATTTAAAATAAATTCTGTGAATAGGCCTGTCACAATAACAAATTTTGCTGGGTGATTAATCGTCTCAGAAATTATTGCAAAAAACAATAATATTGTTTGAAATTTAGCAATAATTAATGGTCAGATTTTATAAAAAATGTTGATTTGTTTGGAGTGTAGTACCTGTTTTGACCACCTGATGACAGTATAAGACCGTTTGAACCAAAGGATGGCTAGCTGAGCAGGTGTCTCTTTAAGAAGAATGAGGGGGAGGTCCCTTGACGTGAAAAGGTGGAAACTCTGTGTGGTTTGAGCTCTTTAGCATAGCATTTTTCACACAAAGCTTTGAATTTACAAAATCTGTAAACAAGTTCTCAGCTTATCCTGATGCATGCTCAATAATCCAGGTAGAAAAATCTAAAAAAGTTAAATCTGGTCCTCTGAGGAAGTCTTTCGAATGAAAGACGAAACGTTTCTACAATTTTTTTTTTGTTTGTTTATTTTTTTTTTAATGTCCAGAGGACCAGATTTAACTTTTTTAGATGTTCTCAGCTTCTGTTTGCAGAGAAAAACAACTTTTACACGAAGGCACGTTTCAACCGTGAATTTTGGAGCATCGACAAGACGGAGGTTTATTCCTGAGGTCGGCCTGTTAGCTTAGCTTCTCAGCTTAGCTGCTTTTAATGATCCATAAACGCGATTCTGTACGGTTAAACAGATTTTAAAGAGAAAAGCGAAAGGGAGGGGTCAGTGAAGAGCACCTGAGTTGAGCCTTTTGTCATCCAGTGTCTTCAGTAGAAAGAGAGACACGAGAAACGATAAAGCTGATAAATGAAAATGAGGTTGATAATTTTCATTCATCATGGGATTAATTGATATATTGTTTGTCGCAACAGGCCTATCTGTGAATGCAAGTTTTATTTTTAATTTATTAGAAATACATTTTCGTTATGCTTAAGGTTTGGTTGTGGATGAATGGTCAGATGTAATCCCGGAATCACCAACAGCCTGTCAGAAATCCAGAAGCATAATTCAGGCTGATTAATCAATGATGAATCACTCTCTGACTGAAATGCTCAATGCACATTGGATTTTCTATGAGCAGGAACAAATGCGTCATCAAGACTGCTCTGTAGTTATTCCTGGCCCTAAAGATTATGATGGGATGAGGAGTTTCTATCTTTGTCAACTACTGCATGTGTCAATCATATGGGCAAACAGGCAGGAAAGTTTTATGCTATATGTGCAGTTTGCAGACTTGTAAAGTACAAACCGGATTCCAAAAAAGTTGGGACACTAAACAAATTGTGAATAAAAACTGAATACAATGATGTGGAGGTGCCAACATCTAATATTTTAATCACAATAGAACACAAATCACAGGTCAAAAGTTTAAACAGAGAGAATGTATCATTTTAAGGGAAAAATCTGTTGTTTCCAAATTTCATGGCGTCAACAAATCCCCAAAAAGTTGGGACAAGTCCATTTTTACCACTGTGTGGCATCACCCCTTCTTCTTACAACACTCAACAGACGTCTGGGGACAGAGGAGACCAGTTTCTCAAGTTTAGAAACAGGAATGCTCTCCCATTCATGTCTAATACAGGCCTCTGACTGTTCAATCATCTTGGGCCTTCTTTGTCGCACCTTCCTCTTTATGATGCGCCAAATGTTCTCTATAGGTGAAAGATCTGGACAGCAGGCTGGCCATTTCAGTACCCGGATCCTTCTCCTACGTAGCCATGATGTTGTGATTGCTGCAGAATGTGGTCTGGCATTATCGTGTTGAAAAATGCAGGGTCTTCCCTGAAAGAGATGACGTCTAGATGGGAGCATATGTTGTTCTAGAACCTGAACATAGTTCTCTGCATTAATGGTGCCTTTCCAGACATGCAAGCTGCCCATGCCACAAGCGCTCATGCAACCCCATACCATCAGTGATGCAGGCTTCTGAACGGAGCGTTGATAACAACTTGGGCTATCCTTGTCCTCTCTGGTCCGGATGACATGGCATCCCAGTGTTCCATAAAGAACTTCAAATAATGACTCATCTGACCACAGAACAGTCTTCCATTTTGCCACACTCCATTTTAAATGACCCCTGGCCCAGTGCAAACGTCTGCTGTTTGTTATATGCTAAATTTCCTTTTGCCAGCCACTTATTGCTACTTGTCCCAACTTTTTTGGGATTTGTTGACACTGTGAAATTTTGAATCAACATATTTTTCCTTTAAAATGTTACATTTACTCAGATTAAACTTTTGATCTGTCATCTGTTATATTACAAATAAAATATTGACATTTGCCATCTCCACATCATTGCATTCAGTTTTTATTCACAATTTGTTTAGTGTCCCAACTTTTTTGGAATCCGGTTTGTAGCTCAAGAACTCCCTGTAGTCCAGGGGTGTCAAGCTCACTTACAACATGGGGGGAAATTAAAACCTTTTTCAAACTAAGGGCTGGTTTCAGAATCTACATGAACTCAAGTTAGATACCCAGCATCTTTTCTTGGTTGCAGGTTCCTCAAAAAGAGTTTGATTGGTCTCATTTGACATTCTCTGTTGCACTTTTGACATCATAATCACACACACACACACAAAAAAACATATTGGGGGCCAGATAAGATATCATCGAGGGCCACATTTGGCCCCCAGGCCTTGAGTTTGACACATACGCCGTAGTCCCTTCTAGAACAATAAAGAAACTTTCAGTGAAATCAAAGAAGAGAAATAGGGTCAGGTGTTAAAATATCACAAGCTTACCTGCTGCTTCCTGGTGTCAAAGGTAATTAAGATGCATCGATAATAATTTTCAATGACATCCCAGCCCTTTGAATTCTAATTAAATTAATTTGTGATGTGCCTAAAAATTTCTACCCTTAATGGGTGTAGTATGGCAATAGCCTAAAAACAAAAAGGGAGTATGCGTTGTAGCAAAGCTCTGTTTAACTCCTTTATATTCCTGTAATATAAAGAAGACCAGACTTATTATCCATTTTTGTTTCTTCATATTTTAATATCCTTGAAGCTATGACACAGTCATTTTGTTCCTTAAAAAAGAACAAATTGTCCCGTTTAT